ATAGGCTAAGGGAGTGGCCAATTAGCCCCAAGCCTTACTCTCGAGGAGACCTCCTCCTGAGGAGCCACTCCTGCCTTTTGGCAGCTCTGTGTGCCCGTGCATCGAGAAGAGGCTCCTCCTCGTCTTCCTCTTCACTTATGGGAGCTTCTGGAGGTTCTGAAGGCCCTGGATGAATCCCCGCCTCTGGCACCACATCTTCTCCAGCTTCCTCATTGTCCGACTCGGGTACCAGCTGCACAGGCTGCTGTCGCAACACTACACCAGCCTCCTCACTGTCAGAATCAGCTACAATCCACTCAGGCAGCTGATGGGCCTCAACACCCTGGGACTTTGCAACTGTCCTAAATATGAGTCAGTTCTGAAGCATGCAAATGTAAATCACGTGACCGGGGGGGGGGGATGCTGCATCGGTCGTAAGTGTGAAAAATGGTCATAAGTCACCTTTTTCAGTACCGTTGTAACTTCGAACGATCACTAAATCAACTATCATAAATCAAGGATTATCTGTACACATTTTAAGATTCCTGTAAAGATGCCAATTCCCTGGATAAATGTATAGACCAGTAAATGAGGTGCGTGGCTGTTAGCAGAATGCATAGAATAGGGAGACAGCCCCCCACCCCCCGACTTTCCTCAACAGCCATCCTGGAGGGGCTTCGCACAGCAATCTGACAGATGGTCTTGCAATTCACATTCCTGTCAACGAGCCAACTTTGCATATTAATCACTCCAACTTTCCTTCAGGGATGAAAAACGTGGGAGGCCCCCTTCCCACATCTGAGCAGACGAGGCCAATTTTCATCTCTACAAGAGAAGAGCTTCACATTCTGTCTGCAATATTTTTTTTTCCTTTTCTTTCTTTAAAAGGTTTTGGAGCAAACCAATAGCAACAACGCTTTAGACTTATATACCGCTTTACAGGGTTTTACAGCCCTGTCTAAGCGGTTTACAGAGTCAGCCTATTTTCCCCCAACAATCTGGGTCCTCATTTTACCCACCTCGGAAGGATGGGAGGCTGAGTCAACTTGGAGCCGGTGAGAATCGAACTCCTGGCAGTGGAATGCAGAGTTAGTCTGCAATACTGCATTCTAACCACTGGGAAGGAAGGAAAGGAAGGAGGGAGGTTGGGAAGGAAGGAAGGAAGGAGAAAAGGAAGAGCAATAGCAATAGGACTTAGACTTATATACCGCTTTACAGCCCTGTCTAAGCAGTTTACAGAGTCAGCCTATTTTCCCCCAACCACTGGGAAGGAGGGAAGGAAGGAAAGGAGGGAGGGAGGTTGGGAGGGAAGGAAGGAAGGAAGAAAAGGAAGAGCAAGAGCAAGAGCACTTAGACTTATATACCTGAGACTTATATACAAGACTCCGCCCTGAGTCTTCGGAGAGGGGCGGCATACAAATTGAATGAATGAATGAATGAATGAATAAATAAATAAATAAATAAATAAATAAATACCGCTTTACAGGATTTTACAGCCCTCTCTAAGCGGTGTACAGAGTCAGCCTATTTTCCCCCAACAGTCTGGGTCCTCATTTTACCCACCTCGAAAGGATGGGAGGCTGAGTTAACCTTGAGCCGGTGAGAATCGAACTCCTGGCAGAGGAATGCAGAGGTAGTCTGCAATACTGCATTCTAACCACTGGGAAGGAGGGAAGGAAGGAAAGGAGGGAGGAATGTTAGGAGGGAAGGAAGGAAGGAAGGGGAGGGAGGGAGGGAAAGAAGGAAGGAAGAAAGATAGCAACAGACTTATATACAGCTTCACAGTACTTTACGTCTCTCTGTGGTTTACAGAGTCAGCCTGTTGCCCCCAACAATCTGGGTCCTCATTTTACCAACCTCAGAAGGATGGAAGGCTGAGTTAATACCAATAGTAAGAGACTTATGTATCGCTTCGCAGTGCTTTACAGCCCTCTCTAAGCGGTTTACAGAGTCAGCCTGTTGCCCCCCCACAATGGGTCCTCATTTTACCCGCCTCAGAAGGCTGAGTCAACCTTGAGCCGCTCAGAATCGAACTCCTGGAGTAAGCAGTGAGTTAGCCTGCAGTACTGCATTCTAATCACTGCGCCCCCACGGCTCTTCCAGGGAGAGGAGGCTCCTGCTTCAGCAAGGGGGTTGGTCTAGAAGACCTCCGAGATCCCTTCCAACTCTGTTCTTCTGTTACTGTGGCTTTTGTGGGTTTGCTCTCCCCGTGTGATTTTTTTTTGCCCTGATGGGATTTTGGCTACGCAGAGAACCACGACCTCAAGAGTTCCCTGTGTTTTAATTTGGGCAGCTCATGCTCGTTCTCGTATGTGAATCATAAAACGATTGATCGGATCCCGACAGATACACCTCTTGTGAAGAAAAGGGCAGCTGAAACCGGTGGTTTATACAGGGGACGTGGTAAAAATGAGCTCCGGAGAGCTAAAACCCAAACAGATTGATTTTCTCTCGTTCTACTGCGTTGATGAAATAATAATAATTTTTAAAAAGATTTAGAAAATCAAAGGGAAAGAAACTGATTTTGCAGATTTAACAGACAATTACGGCTCTCTGGGTGATCGGCTAACAATTGGAGGCAGACGGGAAGCTGGCTGAGATATTGTTTGGGGCGACGTGGGGCTGTGATTTGAAAGGACTCGGAAAAGAATGACGAGAAGCAGAAAGAAGGCAGATAATGCTTTCCTTCCTCACCGCAGGAGATGTGAAATGCAGAGTTAATGAAGCTGAGCCTCCTTGGAGAAGCCGAAGGAATGTGAGGGAAGAAGCACAGAAATATTAAAGCCAAATCCGCTTGGAATCCCAGATCATCGTATAGGTCAGGGGTCTGCAACCATAAACGCTCAAAGAGCCATTTGGATCCATTTCCCACAGAAAAGAAAACACCGGGAGCCACAAAACCTGGATTGGACATCACTCACTTCCACCAGTCACATGATTCCCTCTCTGTCTCTCTCTCTCCCCATCTCTCTGTATCTCTATGTCTCTGCCCAAGCCGCTTCTCCATTACCTGCTGTCGCCCTTACCTTTTCAGGCCAGGCGAGGAGTGACTGGGAGGGGAGGGCGAGGGACGGGTCCAGCTAGTGGCGGGATCACCCAACAGGGAGCCATAGCAGAGGGCCCAAAGAGCCGCATGCAGCTCCGGAGCTGCAGGTTGCTGAACCTGGTATAGGTAAAGGTTCCCTTCGCACATATGTGTTAGTCGTTCCCGACTCTACGGGGCGGTGCTCATCTCCGTTTCAAAGCCGAAGAGCTAGCGCTGTCCGAAGACCACGTGGTCACGTGGCCGGCACAACTCAATGCCAAAGGCGCATGGAACGCTGTTCCCTTCCCACCAAAGGTGGTCCCTATTTTTCTACTTGAATTTTTTACCTGCTTTCAAACTGCTAGGTTGGCAGAAGCCGGGACAAGTCATGGGAGCTCACTCCATTACGTAGCACTAGGGATTCGAACCGCTGAACTGCCGACCTTTCGATCGACAAGAGAGTCGTCTACTGTGGTCTAAATTTTGGGGAGAAAGCAATCGCTTTGAAGGGAGGAGTCAGACTTGCAACCTGCTTTTCACTGTGGTGACTCTTTGCCAAGGCCACTTTAAAGCCGTTCTATACAGCCGTGTTGGTTGCTTAGTATCTTGAATTTGTGGGGGTCCTTGGTGGTCTCCGAGCATCGTGGTGTTCTTGCAGACGTTTCATGACCCAACTGTGTAACATCATCAGGGATAAAAGGGGGGGTTGGAGGAAGAGAAAGAAAAGGATTGTGGGGTCCTTGGTCTCTCTGAGCTTGGTGGTTTTCTTGCAACATCAACAGTGCACCAGTGAAACGTTTGCAAGAAAGCAACCGAGCTCAGAAAATGGCTCCAGCCAGACTTGCTTCAGAGTTGACTTCAGCTTTTCAAGTTATCCCCAGCCTAACCAGAACTGGCTTCTACAGAGGGGGAATGCTTAGCAGAAGTCACTTTGCTTGGGCTCCTTCAAAACGAGAGGACCTGCCCTCAGAGGAGGCATCTAGCTTCAAGCTGACTTCAGCTGCATCTAGAACTTCCTCCATTTTCTCCACCTTCTGCTGCTTAGATCCAAAACTCTCATACTTGTTTATTTGAGATCAACTCTTTTGTCCACGGACACCTTCTCACCTAGCAGTTCAAACACAACTGTGTCTCTCTTCAATTCTCAAGTAGATGGCAGTATCTCACTGGTCTTGCTTGATCTTAGGAAGTTAAGGAGAGTTGATCTTGGTTAGAAGGGACCACCTGGAAATTTGAGAACAATAGGCTTGACCTGGTAATCCAAAATGTATCTCAGAAGAAGGCATTAGCAAGAGACGTCTTCAGACAACACTGGCTCTTCGGCTTTGAAACGGAGATGAGCACCGCCCCCTAGAGTCGGGAACGACTAGCACTTATGTGCGAGGGAAACTTTTACCTTTACCTTATTGACAACGAGATGATTGAATTCTATTCTACTATAAAGTTACATTAAGTGAACCTTGCAGGTCTAAAATATAATTCTACCCTCTCCAACACTGTCCTTTACAGTCTCCTTCACAGCCTGAAAAAATCTAGCCTGAAAAACTCTGAGCCTTTGCCAGCTCCATTATCCAGCTGAGGGCTGTGCTATCTCTTATCTGACCATTCCCTTGGCAGTGTCTTTTCATCCAGTCTCTCAAAGTCTTCTCCACACACCATTGCAGCTGGCCCTGAGATGGACTATCGCATATCAGTAGATTTTTTTTTACTTTTGTAGGTCTTTTGTTACAAATTCAGTACTTTGCAGAGTGCGGCTAGACAAGTTGATCTACAAACATCGCTTTCCCCTGCACAGATTCCAGCTCCGAGTCCCCCTCAGCCTGCTTTGATGTGCCATAATTGAATACACCGAACAAATCCGCTTCCAAATTTCTCTTGCTTGTTGCGTTGACCTTCCTACAGATTGCTCTTTAGCAACTGCTCCATCTGCCAATCGACAGATTGATGCTTCCGCTTCAGGAGATGCTTCCTCCAGATACAATCCCTGGAGTTTAAACTAATTTTTTTTTAAAAAAAAAAAAAGGGGGGGGGGAGAAAAAGAAAAAAAAGAAAGATGCAATACACCAAGAGAAAAAGAATCCAAGTTGTTAAAAAGGGAACAAATCTCGTTTGCTAGCGTAATAACCAGGGCTAACCGAAATTCCTCACTTGCTAAGTGAAGAGGAAGAGCAGAAAAGAGGAAAATGAATGCAATAAATGACTCATTAAAGGAGATTTATCTAGTTTCCAGAAAGGGATGCAACTCATCTTGGAAGAACAGAGCGTGAAGTCAAATCCATGGTCAACAAGAGAAGTCTCCCATTCTGATGACGCCGTCTTAATCCTAGTTTTGGATTTGACGATGCACGAGAGCAACCCAGCAGGAGAAGACGTGACTAACTTCAACCCAACCATGTTTGCAACGAGGGCTGGAAACAAAAACCCAGAGATGAAACGATGACGAGGCCGTGATGGGGACCAAAAGCAACTCCGATGGAGCTGGGGAATATGCCCAGGTATGATTTAAGCATCTCTGGGGAATCAAAGATGCTCCAAGCATCAAAGGATGTAGGTAAACCTCCGAAAATACTTGAATAAGTGTTGGGTTGGTTAAAAGAAGCTTTCAAGGGAAGGTGGCATGAGAAATGGAGCGCTGCCATTTTAACCCTGGTTGGGGATTGGAAATGACAGACAGGAGGATCGAAGGAGCTTAGTCAATCATTAGATTCTGTCCTCTGTCTGTCAAATCAACAATGGGAGAGGCTGGTCCTTTTGAGACAGCTGGAATTTTCTCGGCCACTTGACAGACGGACATCTGGCTTATCAACCTCAGAGGCTAGCCAAGTATACATTGCATTCCCATCCCATTGCATTCCCTGGGGTGAAATCCAGCAGGTTCTGACAGGTTCTGGAGAACCGGTAGCAGAAATTTTGAGTAGTTCGGAGAACCGGCAAATGCCACCTCTGGCTGGCCCCAGAGTGGGGCTGGGAATGGAGATTTTGCAATCTCCTTCCCCCAGGAGTGGGGAGGGAATGGGGATTTTGCAATATCCTTCCCCCAGGAGTGAGGGAGGGAATGGGGATTTTGCAATATCCTTCCCCTGGAGTGGGGTGGGAATGGAGATTTTGCAGTATCTTTCCCCTGGAGTGGGGTGGGAATGGAGATTTTGGAGTATCCTTCCCCTGCCATGCCCACCAAGCCACGCCCACCAAGCCACGCCCACAGAACCGGTAGTTAAAAAAAAAATTGGATTTCACCACTGATTCCCATGCTGGTACAGCTAGGGGGATCTGATGGTGAATCTACAGGGATCCGGGAAGTAGATCGGCAGCTGCTGAAGCTAACTAGCAGGGTGGCCAGTCCCGTGAGCTGGGGTTCACAACCCCAAGGAGCGTGATTTTCCAGCAACCGTTCCCCCCCCCACTCCCAAATAGGGACAGCCCAATGACTAAAGTTTTTTCTTCGGGGGGGGGGGGGAATCAGAAAATCCTCTTATGATTTTCTTTTAAAGCAAAGATTGGAAAGAGCACAGCAAAACAGGCCCCAAGAGGTTTTCTTTCTTTTCCATAGGTGTGATTTGAATGGAGAGTCCTCTTCCCACCCACCCCCACCCCCATGGGGGGATTGCGAGGAGGCACCCCAGAATTATTGTTGACGGGTGCCGTTGCTTCCGAGCGCATGGGAGAGGATGCAAAGGCAGAGGGAAATGAGCATGCTCACTCTTGCAAAGCAGCATTTGGCCAAGCCAGAACAGTGTGTGTCTTATCCTTCCACAATTTCTCTCCTTCTTCCTCCTCCTCCTCTTCCTCCTCCTCTTTGGGATCTCTCTCTCTCTCTCTCTCTCTCTCTAGATGTCTGCTACGTTCGGAGGTGCCGGAATTGTGAGTACTGACTTGGCAATGCAAAATGCAGAGCTTCAATTTATTCATTTATTTGGGCATCCCCGGGAAATGCCTCTTTAGTTTCACTTTCTCATTGGCTATATGTTCAAAATTCCCTTCCTTTTCTCTCTCCTGTCTTTGGCTCTTTCTCTCTCTCTCTCTCTCTCTGTTTATGCTCAGAGGTCCCTGGGTAACAGCCTCTAAAGCAGATTTGGGTATTTCATATCGGAGAATCTAGTTTAAAGCCTTTTGTTTTAGCAGCCTGGAATTTAAAAACCGATGCTATTTTCCACCGAGAAAATGCTGACAGGCACAATAGTTGCATACAGATGGTTCGGCATCCTGCTAGCTAAATCCCTGGGTTCACACACGTTGCATTAAACCAGGTTTCACAGGTTTTGATTTAGTGGGTTGTGTGAACCCACCGATTGTGGTTTATTTAGCGATGTGTAGGGAACTCAGCTGCTTTTATATATTTGGTTGAATGTGCCATCGGGGAAAGTGCGTGTCCGTTAAATCCAAAAGTCCGTTAAATCTCAAATTATGGGCAATCCTTGACGTACCACCACATCTGAGCCCAAAATTTCTGCTGCTAAAAACAAGATGGTTTTTAAGTGAATTGTGTCCCATTTTACGACCTTTTGCCACGGTTGTTAAGTGAAACATGTGGTCGTTAAGCGAATCTGGCTTCCCCCATGGACTTTGCTTGTCAGAATCCAGTTGTGAATCACCTCACACGGCCCAGAGATACTGCACCATCATAAATACATGCCAGTTGCTAAGTGCCCAAATTTTGATCATATGACTGTGAGGATGCCTGGACGGTCTTAACTGTGAGGATTTGTTTCAGGGCGGGTGTAACTTCAAACAGTTGTTAAATGAATTGTTGTAGGCAAGGACTACCTCTAGGTTTCTATTTTACTTATTAAATTTATATGCCACCTTACCAATTCCTATTGCTTTTTAGCATAAGATCCTTTATGTAAAGGGGGAGAGAGCAAGGCGCATCTCTCAATGCAAAATTGCAGAATTGTGATTGACAATAAACAACAGTGTGCGTGCCACAACACTCAGAGGGAAAAACAACTAAATTTCTACCACAAGCTTAAAAAAAAAATACCCACTCATAATTTCTTCTATCTGGTTTACTGAACAAGCCACCATAACACCCTAGAGTTTCTTAAGCTTGGTATCTTTAAGATGCATGGATTTCAACTCCCAGAATTCCCCAACCAGCATTTTTGGACTTCAACTCCCAGAATTCCCCAGTCAGCATTTGGGGACTTCAACCCCCAGAATTCTCCAGCCAGCATGTTGAATCTTAAAGATGCCAAGATTGAGAAACACTTCATTAAAGCATAAACCACGGTTTAGGGGGGGAAAATGCCTGGGTTTATACAAGCCACCAAACCAAAAATCCTGGTTTAGGAGCTGTGCAAACTCAGTTAGCAACTGACAACGTTCGGATTCCGTCTTCTCAAGCAGATCCAACCAGCTGGTGAAAGAATTGAATCCAATCCATCTGAAAGGCACCAGATTGGAGAAGGTGGCTCTTAATTTGTCAAGGAAACCCATGCCAGCTCCAAGGCTTGCTAATAATTAAACCACCCTTGCTGTGCATTTTGGAAAATGTGTTACGATAGATTTTCGAAGAATCTCGTCAGCACCCTGGACAGGTCCCTTGGTTGCGCAACAGGAAAAGTGATTATTTTTTAATCAACGATTTACGCCCATAATTGAGCCCCACATTTCTGTTGCTAAGCAAGACCGTTCTTAAGTGAGTTTTGCCTCATCTTACGACCTTTCTCGCCACAATCACTGCAGTTGTTAAATGAACCCATGACCCTGGGGGGGGGGGGACGCTGCAACCGTCATAAATCCACAAGTTGCCAAGTTTCCAAATTTCGATCACCTGATCACGGAGATGCTGCGATGGTTGCGAGTGTGAAAACTGGGCGTAAGTCACTTTTTTGGGGGGGGTGTACCGTTATAACTTTGAACAAAAGGAATGGTTGTAAGTTGAGAACTACTTGCATTTATGCTGAAGCGAGAGCCACTTCAAGGTCCAAATTGGGGCAGGAGGAAATTGGGTGGATCCCGCTAGTGCAAGATTGTGTAGATTTCGGTTGGTGTAAAACCTGAGAAAGATATATAGGAGGCTCACGTTCGAATCCTTCCAAGCGGTAAACCAAATCTGGATTATTCCTGCCCAACTCATTAATGTCTAACAATTCTGAGTTTGTCTTCAGCATAAGGAATAGGGGTGAGGCTGCTGGGGGTTCGTAGAGGTTCGGGAGAACCTCTAGCTAATCCCATTCCTGGTTGGCCCCGCCCCCCCCGCCCCCCCCCCCCCCGGAGGCCCCCCCCGGCCCCCTTTGGATGCCGGGAACTTCCGGGCAGGCGCGGAGGCTCAGGGGGGGTGAAAAACGGGCCTACCGGAAGTTCAGGAAGGCCGGAAACGGGCCTATTTCCAGCCTCCGGAGCCTGGGGAGGCCATTTTCACCTTCCCAGAGGCTTGAGGAAAGCCTCCGGAGCCTGGGAAGGGCAAAAATGCCCCTCCCACCATAGTGCAGGAGGCCAACTAGGCCACACCCATCATGGCCACGCCCACCCACCAACCAGGCAGAGAACCCCTTGCTAATATTTTTGAAGCCCACTCCTGATAAGGAACCTCACCTGAGGCTTCCCAGCTTTCTTTTGACACTTTAGTGTTTCTCAACCTGAGCAGCTGGAAGATGGGAGGACTTCAACTCCCAGAATTCCCCAGCCCAGGCCTCCTTCCTTCGACACAACGTGTATAGGTGCCCAAAAAAACATTTTTCCAGCTCAGCAACTTTAAGCCTTTTGCCTGGGGAATTCTGGGAGTTGAAGTCCACCCACTTCAAAGTTTGGAAAAAAAAGAACAACCTTGCTCTAGTCCAAGGGGTCCCCAAACTTGGCCGCTTGAAGACTTGTGGACTTCAACTCCCAGAATTCTCCAGCCAGCTGGCTGGAGAATTCTGGGAGTTGAAGTCTACAAGTCTTCAAGCGGCCAAGTTTGGCTGGAGAATTCTGGGAGTTGAAGTCCACAAGTCTTAAAGCGGCCAAGTTCGAAGACCCCTTTAAGACCAAGCCTTCAAGCTGCCAAGTTTGAAGTCTAAGGTTCATCCGAGCGCCCCCTGCAGGCCCGTCCCCAGGCAGGGGAGTCCAGTTCCGCCTGCGGGTGGCTCCTTAGCGGCCCCTGGAGGCCAAAGGTGGAACAACACCCCCTTCTAAAAGCTGAAACAGCTGATTTGCTTTTTAGGCTGGTCCTTTTTTTCCCCCTCCCCGATGGCAGCTGATTTAAAACTGCTGGAGGCTGGGAAGAAGACCCCCTCCCTCGCCCGGCGCCTGCGGCATTTTCGCCTGGCCGGTGGCTTTCCTCTTGGCCACCAGTGATTTCCCCACCCCCACCTGGCTGGTCAAGAGGGAGGGAGGGAGGAAGGGAGGGGGGGAATGACCAAAGGGACGGAGGGAGGGGCAGCTGCGATGCAAAGAGAGTCCCAGCCAGCCGGACAAGGCTGCTCCTTCTCATCCTTCCAACCCAACCCAACCCAACCTGCCAGCGCTTCCCTTCCCTTTCCCTGTTGACCAGCTCAAGCCTGCGGGAGTTCAAGCGGGCTGGTCATTCCGTCAGTCCTCATTGAGCAAGCCAAGCACGTCGGGACGGAGTCCTATTGTTGAGGGCAGACGCCATGCTTAGCCTGCCAAGGGGGCTAAACTAGTGAGCGCCCGAGGAAGATGGCGTATACACAGGTAGGGCTGAACCAGCCTGGGGTGGGGTGGGGGGGCTGGGAAGGAAAGGCGAAGGGAGAGGAAGAGGAGGAGGAGGGAGGGGGCTAGAGACCTACACCCTCCGGGCTGCCTTTGCTGGGAAGAAAGAAGGGGGGGTAGTGAAGGCAGACGCGTTGGGGTCCCCCATACCAGCATTCTCCTCCCCCAGGCTTTGCAAAAAGCGAGAATTTTCCTGCAGGAAACTTGAGTGAGCAAGCTGGAGTTTCGGAGCTGCTCCGGAGTTTCTCCTCCGACCAGGAGGAAAATGCAACCTGTAGCATGAATAGGTGGAATCCCCCCCCACTTGGCTTGGCCCCTTCTCTCGGGGCTGGGGGGGGGTCTTCCTTCCTTCCTTCCCTTCCCTTCCTTCCTCCGTTCTTCCCTTCCCTTTCCTTTCCTTCCCTTCCCCTTCCTTCCTTCCTTTCCCTTCCTTTCCTTCCTTCCTCCCTTCTTCCCTTCCCTTCTTTCCTTCCTTCCTTCCTTCCTCCCTTCCTTCCTTTCCCTTCCCTTCCCTTCCCTTCCCTTCCCTTCCTTTCTTCCTTTCCTTTCCCTTCCTTCCTTCCTTCCCCTTCCTTCCTTCCTTTCCCTTCCTTTCCTTCCTTCCTTCCTCCCTTCCTTCCTTCCCCTTCCCTTCCCTTCCCTTCTTCCTTTCCTTTCCCTTCCTTCCTTCCTTTCCCTTCCTTTCCTTCCTTTCCTTCCTCCCTTCTTCCCTTCTCTTCTTTCCTTCCTTCCTTCCTTCCTTCCTTCCTTCCTTCCTTCCTTCCTTCCTTCCTTCCTTCCTTCCTTTTTTTCTGCTGGCTTTCCCCTTTCTTCTCGCGTCTTTTTGGGCAGGATTCCCACGACCTTCGCTGTTTCGGAGCACCGGAGCGCGGCGGGCAAAGCGGGCGCTTCTTGAGCGGCGGGGCGGATGGTGTGGGAAGGGGCTTGCCCTGAAATTAGGCTGCCAAAGCGGGCGGGAAGGAAGGAAAGAAAGGGGGGAGGGTCGCCCATCTGGCAGAGCAGATGCGTGTATAAAATGCCCGGCGGTAGCTGTTGACCTTTCCTGGGCAGATGGGAGTGGGCTTGCGGATGTGATTGTGGGGAAGGTTGGCACACGCATGTTGGGTGAAGCCGGCAAATGGAGGGAGGAGAGGAAGGAAGAGAGAGAGAGAGAGAGAGAGAGGGATGAAAAACGCAAATAGCGAATTTTGCCTTAGCTGGGTTGATAC